GTAAAACTTACAAAAGACTTACTATTCAGTGGCTTAAGTAAACATGCCATTCAGCAGAAGCACAAGTTTAAAACATTGAAATAATTTGATATTTTGCTTTTCTTTAAATAATCCAAATTGTAAATAATGAATAAAATATATCACAATGTACAGACTGTACACAGAACAAAGAATCACAATCTTATTAAATCAAATTACTACTGTACTGGGAAAGACTTGATTTTAAGATAGTTTACATTCATCCAACAAAAAAAAAAAAAAAAAAAAAAAAAAAAAAAAAAAAAATTAATCACAAATGAGAAGCTCTTGTGCAAATATATAAATGCAACCAAATGCAACCACACAACAGAGAAACAATTTAAACATGACATGAAACTCTCTCAAGAAATTTCTGAATAGCACACAGTGACTATATTGCTCTTCTCTTCATATCAATAATTGATAAGAGAGCTCTGGAACAAGTTTTGAATTAACATTCTGCATCCATGTGAATAAATGCAAGGCGGCTCTGAAGAGAAAATAAAAAAAAAAAAAAGAAAACAACATATATGGCATGATTTAGTGAGTAATATATAAACTGAAATCTAAAATCTTAAAATTTACAAAACTAATGATCAATTACATATTTTGTCATATTATATTTAAGATTCAAAAAAGTTAAATTTTAAGTTCAAATTTTTTGTTTTTAATTTGCAATCAAATTTATCTTCATCCTTCTAAAATGTTTAATGATTAACAAATTTAAATCCATTTAATTACAGATTAAACATGTCCTGTTTCATATATTCTTTTAAAATTAACAAGGCGTTATATTAACTTTTAAATGCCCTGGAGTTTCTAGACCATTTTTCTTTTCTCATTTCTTCTTTTTTACAGATGAAAAGGTAAAAGTTACTTGTGGGGTGAAAATTGGTGGTTTTATTGTTCTGTTTATTTATTTATTTTTGAAACATTCCTAAACTTTCCAGTCCATCGGTAAATATTATCAACATGTGAAAAGAAAACATAACTTTAGCTAATTCAAATACAAATTTGAATTATTAAACAAAGATTATGTGATACATTAAAAAATAAAACACATTCTTCTTCAAAATTTTCTGCATCCCCCACACTATTCTTCTCCCTAAGTAAACAGGAATCCTTTCGTAAAAAAAAAAAAAAAAAATCACTGCATTGCAAGGACTTATGCAAATCTCAGCAAGAGTGGCTATCGAGGAAGTGCATTTTCTTGTCATTCCCTTTGAAAATGTTCAGCAAAATTCTATATATTCCTGCAAAACATTTACCAAAGTTTGTTCTATTGTTGGCAAGTTCGACAAGCTCATATTTTAAAACTAATTTAAAGGAAAAAAAAATACCTCGATTTGTTTATAATAACTGTTGGAGCTCAGAATGCAACAAAAAACAGTGCATACGGTAATGGCGGCATTGCTGGGTTGAAGGATTGTTATGAGCTTGGTTGCCAGAAACTGGCACACACTGAAAATTTGGCAACTACTACATTGGTTGCATTAATATGCAAGTACCAAATATTATTTGCACATTTTAATGGGAAAATAATACTTTAATCAGTTTTTGTACCAATGCTATGAACAACAGATTTTGCTTTCATTAAGAAAGAAACTTTGTAATTTGTTCATAGCAAATGCCATGGTGGCCTGCTTTTATTAATAAGTTCTTTTAATTTGTCATTACTAATATTACATCTAAATTTAGTTCTTGTTTTAGTAATAACATTGAAAATCACTCTGCATTGCTATAGAAGGTTGTCAGAATTGCCAGCATTATTCTAGACAGTTCACTGTACTTTAAAACTCCATCAGCACCTTTTAGTAATTAAACTCCACTGGGTACCAATCCTTGCTGGTTTTATAACTTTATCCAAGTTTTATGACTATCAACTACAAAACTGAGATTGCAATTTATCAGTTGAAATATTCATACATTCTATTTCAAAATTAGATGAAGCAAAACTATCTTATATCAGAAAAATATGCACTTGTTACAGTAGAAACATTTGCAAGTTTAGCATATAAAATCATTTCATTGTGGATAGGAAATTGATATGGTACGTAATAACATGCTCGGCAGAAGTAGCTTCTAACATGGAAATAAAACTTATTTTTGCTTTTATTAACTTTGTTAGTTGCATCCTTTATTGCCAAATCATCATCTTTATTCTGATTTTCTATTTTACCATAAATCACATGATTTCTAGAATTAGATGACGAAACAAAAGTTGGTTTTGCGAACTTTAATAAAATGTCTTTAAACAGATTACTAATCATTAATTGCAAAACATGAATTAATGAAATCCTGCATAGAATTGTGTTAAGAATAGCGCATGATGGCAAAATGGATATACAAAAAAGCAAAATGCATTGTCAAGGTCAAAAGACAAAAACAAATATTCGTTCTTCCAAAACAAATATTCCTTCAATTGCAATCTTCCAAAGATAACAAATAAATCTTCTTCCAAAGATAAAGCAATGGCAAAATGTTCCCCCTTTCAGGATTTTTTTTTTTATTTTGAAAGAACTTCGTATCAGCTTTATATTATATATCAGTAATATTATTTTGAGAATTCCTTATTAAATTGCTTACAGGTGCAGAAATTACTTTTTCCATTTGTCGGGGATTCTAGATAAACTTTTCTCTAAAATAAACAGTGTGCATATGTTTTGAAATTTTTCTTATTTCAGTATTATGCAGCTGTTGGGAGTTATTTCAAATTTCCCTTCCTCTTAATTTGTTTCAAGATAATAAGAAATATCACATTATACCACATAATTATAATATATACATTTTAGAATTCTTTTCAAGATAATAAGCATCAACAACACATTCATCCACACTTATTGGTCAAATAGCTGCCCCTTTTTCAGCTACTAAATTTAAGATATGACAGGTGCACCTCATAATTTGCAAATCTGAATTTTCTCTCTCTCTCTCTCTTTTTTTTAATTAGCAGTGCTATAGACTGGTAATTATTTCTAAAGACTGGATTACATCATGCAAAATAAAAAAGTCAATATAACAAACAGTACATATCACAAAGGTACTACATTTTCTTGACGAAATAATAGAACGAAAGTCTGTGCATGATTTTTGAAAGTACATGAGTATTTTACCTTTTTGCAGACGTAACTAATCCAGAAGACCGCAATTTCTTAAACTATTTCTTGAAAGCATGCGAAGCTTTTTACAAGCATTAATGTAGTTATGAAGATTAGTTAAAAAAACAATGTTATTACTCTCTAATTGTATATAAAAGCATATATGATACAAGCACTGTTAGACAGAATGGATTTTTTGGTAGGTTTGAGTTAATACATATTGCACAATTTCTTACTTGCAAAAAAGCATTACTCTGTTACAGTTAGACCATTACTCTGGGTTGAAAATCTCGAGATTATTCCAAACTATTTTATCAAAATAATATTGATTAATAAGTATGCAAAACGAAAATATTGTAATTCAACTTTGAAACTTTTCACACAGAACTTCAGCATTATTGGATTATTACGGAATGTATTGTCAAATAGTATAAAAAATATAACTCATTTAGGCTATAACTGAATCCCTATAATACATTTATGAATTATAATGATTCAGCAATGTGAAATAAATATTCATTTAGAAAAAGCATTAAAATTCTAACATCAGTATATATATATTATCTTACATGACTGAAACATATTTTACCTAAATAAACAAAAATCTAAGCTCTAAAAGTAATTCTTTCAAATAAAAAGTGCAGTTTTTAGAGCACCACTGTCTACTAGCAATAAATTACAGTATTGCCGCTCTTTAGTTTTGCATTTAGAATAGTATATTTTAGGTCATTTATACTTTTATAAGTTTGAGATTCTCAAATTAGTGCAGTTCTTAAGAAATGAATTTAAGTAACAATCTGAATTTTATTCATTGTGTTCAAAGCAATGCCATAAGTCGAAGAGATAAGTACTAAGATGATGGCAGAACTTCCAGAGATACAAAAAAATTTCAACTTCTAAATAAGAAAGAAATTTCTTTTAACAGCAAACAGAAACTATTTGTATTTTTATCATTAATATAACATCAATACAAATATACTATTTCCTGTTATTGTTTTATATATAAAATATATAAAACAGCAACAGATTGAAATGCTTAAGCATTTAAAGTATTGCAAAAGTCACTTTTATGCTATTATATTGGGCAAATTCTGATCACACCAAAATGATAGATTCACATCCTTAGGCAGCCTATACTAGCACCAACATTTTAAACTATAGTTCAGAATTAATTTCATTACACAGGAAAAGTTCCTAAAGAAAATATCCAGAAGCATTTCATACAACATAATGCATTGTGCAATATTATATCACATCTCACAAAGAAGTGTTGACATTCACACATCCTTCAACTTTCTTCAATAATTTTAGAACTGAAATTAATTAATGGTGAAATAGTAAAATGCTGTCTATTTGCTAACACTTTTTTTCTTAGGCAAGATTGTTAAGTTTAGGATTGTGTATCCATAGATCGCCAATAGATGGCGGTAGTGTTTGTTTGTAAAAGGAAACTGTGATGTCAATTATGTATATGTATCAGTTCGTCTTTTGGTGTTCGTGAATAAATGTTGTGTGGAAGAACGCTCCTCTGTTTATTACTTTAACTGCGATCCAGTCTGATTTATTAGAGATTTACACATATTTTGTTTAAAGATAAAAATACAGTAGCAAGAACAAGTTAATAAAATCCATGTAACAAAGAAAGAGAAAAAATGAATTTTTCAGGTTTATGATGATGAATACAGATTGTGCAGCTTGAGGATTATGACATCATACAATAACAATTCCTGTTCAAGCATTTCATTTGAAAACATAAGCCTAATTTTATTTCTGAAATGCTAATTATTTCAAAATGAAATACCAAGCATAAACCACTACAAACAACCAGCAGGTAGCCTTTTTTTCCTTTTAGAAATGATAGCTACTTCAAGATGAAATATCAAGCATGAATCAATTCATTCAATAAAATTAAAATTATTTATGTTTTTTAAAGTTTACCACCTTATTTCTTCCAACAAAACACAGAGTGGCAATACTAGTTTGTATGCATGCTTTAAATTGCAACCTCACTATAAACAGAATGGCATTAATTTACAAATCACTATAATTACAGTTACGAAAGCTATTTGCATGCAGAGCAAAGCATGCAAGAGTGAAAAGTTGCTTGAAGAAATTATTTTTAACTTGCCCTAAAATACTGAAAATTGGAAACCATCTGGATTGTCATGATTAATTTGTGGTTCCTTGCCCCCAACAATTTATGACTGGATCATTGCCAGAACAGGTAATACCACAGTCCTAGAAGAAACATGTGCAGGTTACACACCATTTTAAATGCTCTTTAATCCAACAGAAGAGGCCAAGAGTACTTATGTGTAAAATTTTTCTCTTTTGATGGTTAAATGTAAGCATTCCAACAAGATAAATATCACAGTGCCATTCCAAATAGTATACAAAATCAAATATATCTACATCACTAATAATCATGAAATGACATAACAGGAGATATCTTGTGTAAAAAAATTAATTTAGTTAAAGTTACGATACACTACCATATTCAAAAGACATCCCATTAAAAGGATTAAGTCAATTTGAACAATTTAAAATAGTTATTTAACATAGTATCCACAGCACTAGTATTCATGTTTACAGAATGAATTTTACTAGGCCAGGTAATAGATGCCATCACAGTGTTTAATATGATAACTAAAGACACCATGTGCTAAAATTAACATAAAGTATACTTTTCATATAGGACTGACAGGACATAATTTTGGAAACACTTCTGAATAAACATTAGTTATGTTAGGAAATATGGATTTCCATACATACCTTTTGCTCAAACATGCTCATATTTTATAAGTTCATATAAAAATTATTATTTTTTTTTGCTTTTTTTTTTCCCTTTCTATTTGAAAGTTATGGATAAAAAATTAACTTAAATTTTATTTTAAAAAGTAAGGCAATTTTTGTGCATATAAAATTTAAGAATTTATTTTTTGCCAAGGCAAGAGATAATTTATTAGCATATTACTTTTCCCCACATAAATGTTTAAATCTGGGGGAAAAAATCACAAGGAATTTTCAGTAACTTATAATATGGAGATTATTGTAAGAATTTAACTTTACTATAATACTTATAAAATCTGCATTTTAATTGTGTTATGATGTAGAAATTTCATATTAATGTGTTTAAAGTGAAAAACAACAAAAGAAAGTTAAAAAAATTGAAGTGACTGGGGCAAAACTATGAATAATTTTGAATAAGCTGTTAATTAAATTTGCACAGAAAACTTACTTGAGATCGACTTAAATGACAAGCTACATCGTGCATGTCATCCAAAGATTCTTCTAAGTCAGTTGTTAATGAAGAAAATGGTTGAGGAATGAGAGAGGGATCCCGAATTCCATCTGACTGCTGTTTCACAAAATTTATAAATACCTGTAATAAATTAATGAAAATGATAACTATGAGTCTAATAAAACTTAATATTTAAAAGAAATTGAACTTCAAAGAAATTAAAAGAAATTGAAGTCAATTTAGGAGGAAATAAATAACAAGGCAGCCTAATGCACAATTTAAAGCTGTATAAATGTAATTAATTAAAAATTACAATTAAGAATATAAATGCAAAGGGTACTTTAGTAAACTTAAGGCAAATCTTTTAGTATATATTCAGAACATGAAGGCCTGATTGAAACAAAATATAGTCGAAATCCTTTTAATGTATAAAATGGAGATTTTAAGTTTAGAATGTTATGATTTGATGATGTTTCAGAGATTAGAAAAGTATTAAACTGAATGACACTGATTACTATAGGAGTGATATACACTGATAGATTACCACTAACACCAGCAAGTACAAGATTTAATGCAACAAAGTTTACTTTCTTTGAAGATAAAATCACTAAAATTTCATGTAATGTAAATAATCAGAATATGTATGATGTGGTCATCATGAACAAGTGTTATTTATGGTAAAGTAAGTCAGAGACTTGGATGGTATTTTGGGGTCTTGTAGTTTAGACAACCGTAATTCCCTGTCAGACTTCATTTGTTGTAACCAATGGTGATCTTTATTCTGCCAATATTAATGTTTCTTGAACAGACAAGTTCAATCAAAAAAAAGATATGGCAAACATACTGGCTGATGTATTAAGTGTTAGATGACGAGCATGACAAATGTTCATGAATAACATTCTTCAGAGATAGCTTCAGTAATTTTCTAGAGCTGTCTTAAAAAGCATAAAAGGCCGTGACATATCTCTAATGTAATGCCGATAAGGTGCTACACATATGCATATCAAATGTTAGTGGGACTCATATCCAATAGTATTTGATAATATAACTTCCAGTGTTGACCAATATAATGAGCAAGATTCCAGTAAGTATTGCCCATTGTGGCACCATATGCACACATATTCATCATGATGTTGAATGAAA